CCTAGTGTAGAAAACACCATCCATATTTTTCCTTTTTATTTAATAAAAATACTTTTTTAAATTTGCGTGATACTTTTCTTTAGAACTATGTTTAATGTAGTTTGCAGTTCCATGCAGTTTTCCAACTTAAAAGATTTTAATCCATATAAAAATCGAGAGGGAAACTAACGTACTTCCTTCCTCTATGACTTTCCACGCGCTAATGGGGTAAGCATGCGAAGTGTTGCCATAGGTAAAGAGTTCTGCTCTACGCCACCTGTAGCTCATTTCGATCGCCAATTGCGTCTTTACAAGCACAGGCATAAAAATAGGAAATAGTAACCCGGAAGTGTTACGGTGAGTTGTAACATCTAGCGCCACCTGTGCTTTGCTTTACTAGGTCAACCATCCATTGTGCTATCTGTTTTTATTTTACAGAAAGGCTTATATAGGCCTGTTTACACGGTCCAATTTCTTGAATCCGAGAAATTGGACGGATTTCTCTGTCCAAGAAATTGGATGATTCGTTGACACTATCCAAGTTCTTGAATGTTTAAAATTGAGTTGAGTTAATGTTGAGTTTAAAATTACTAAATAAATTCATATAAAATCATAATAATACAAATAAACCTCAACAGATCAATTTATTTGGACTAAAATTTATGGAAACCCACAACAAAATGACATAATTTGCTGCCAGCTTGTTGACGTCACAAAACCTAAGACGCTGATTGGTTAAGGGAGAAAAAACTTGGATGGAAAGTAGAACATGCTCTACTATCGTCCAAGAAGTTGGACCAAGTTCTTGGATGTTTGTTTACACGATCAAAGCTCAAAGCAAAACAAGTTTCCATCAATATCAATCAATCTCTGTCCAAGAAATTGGATCGTCTAAACAGACCTTAAGCCTGGATTGAGCACTGAAGCTGCAAATGTATGTAATTTCAATAAGTAAATAAATATTTTTTTATTCGTTTAAAATCATGGATATAATAAATTCATTATTGGGTCTTGAAAACTATAGAATTAAGTTTTTAACGGGGGAAGGAGATTATGAAGGCACTATATCAAGAATTGCTCCCGAAATTCAGCTCATAGTTATAACCAAAGCTATTTGGTTACCCAAGGATAAAAAACTGGGTACATTGACTTTTAGAGCTAAGGAAATAATATCTTTCGACGTGATCGGTAGATCAGAATCTTCAAAGATTTCAGAATCTTTAGCTAACAACTATAGTGGCTTCTACGAACGAAATGACCAAAGACCAACTATTTTCGATGATGAATCCGATGAAACTTCCTCTGTTAATGAATCGGAACTATTCTCAGAGATAGATTCTGAGGAAAGAGTATACACGTTTGATTTACCCCCATCTTTATGCAAAATCTTGCCATTAGACAATGTCGTTATAAGCGAATTTGATGAAAACTTTGACTACTGTATCCAGCATTTCCGCCAACAAGATGTAATTGGAATTTCTTTTGAAAGTCCTAAGATAAGACGTAATGAACTTTTGCATTGGCTATGCATAGCCACTTCTTGCTGTACTTTTTTAATTGATATTTTCACTCTTGGTGAATCTGCTTTTACTAGAGGAATTAAAGATATTCTAGAGGATCCTAAGATAGAGAAAGTGGTTCACGATTGTCGACAAATCTCTGATTGCTTGTTTCATTGTTACAATACTAAATTGATTAATGTTTTTGATACTCAAGTAGCTGACTATATAATAAATCGACAAAGGACTAAAGATGGAAAGATTATCCCTTATGTGCAGCCATTAAATTCTTGTTTATCTCATTATCTCTATGTGCCAGAAGAATTTTTATTCCGTCGCAAAAAACGATCTTACCAAGATGATTTGGTATTTTATGAATTACGACCTCTCAGGGAAGATTTAAGGAATTTGTTTACAAAAAATGTTATATACCTAAGACCCTTAAAACAAGAATTGGACATTTTGCTTTTGGAACCCTTGGACAAATGTGTTGATATTTATATGAAATCAAGGCGTTGTAAAACAGATAGGGAACTTAAACTTGAGAGATTTGTACACAATGTGGTGCCTGATGAATTGCTATTTGAAGAAATTAAACTTTTTCGATTTAAAGATTATGTAGACATTCCAGCTACTGTAAGTTCAGGGCCACCATTTAGAGAATTTCAGGATTCTTTTAAAGACTATTGCAAAATAAACACGAAAACAGTTCCTTTAAAAATAGACTAGTAGTATGAATAAATTAAAACCAGAGTTGTAGTGATTTAAATCATTTGACTAAAGATGTTGATTTAAATTACGATTTCAATCGACCACTTTTATTTGAAAGGAAAAAAATTTGAAGGATTGTATATATAGAGAAAAAATCAAACCTATTTTTTTATTCATGATTTTAATTATGAAACTATAGGTACATTTTAAAGAAAGTCAATTTGTACTTGAATGTCTAAGATATTTTCATGGTTCATAATGTAGATCAATGAGAATCTTTACCTAAATGACAACTAAGATAAACTTAAGATATTTGGATCAATATTCGGGTATTTTCATTAATTAAGTCTGTAAAATTATACATCTGTAAATAATGTCTGAAATTTCATATCACTGTGTTCATGTCATTTAATGTTATGTTCAACTATATGTATATTATTTGCTAATTGTTACATAGATTACTTTACTTTTAACCTGGTTATATCTTAGAGGTAACCAGGGTAAGCGTAACTTAGAGAATGCAAGCCCATTCAAATATCACAAAGGGGCAGGGACCCTGAGCTAAAAAATTTTCGATGTTCCAACTCCACTCAAGGTAATAAGCTAAAACTCAGGCTCCAAAAATTTCACTATATACACACTATTGAGTTCCAAATTATAATTTTAAATTTTTATTACTGAAAAGAGCATTATTAGTGTGTCGTAATTATTAGAATGCAAATAAATGCTGCATAACCCAATTTAAAACAAAATTAAGAGCAAGAATCTGAGAAACTGTCACACCTGACATTATGGGGTGATTTATGCCATCTCATATTTTCTCCAAAAAATTACTAAATGTTACACATCTTGTCAAAAGACAAAATCCAGAATTTTTTCGTCCCGCAGTGGACTGATCGTTAAGACACGGTTCCCAGCAGATCACCGAAGTCAAGCATCACTGGCTACAGTCAGTGTGCGGGTGGGTGACCACTTGGATCAGCCTGTGTATTGGACCTCGTTAAACTGTTCTACCGTAAAGTGCTCAACTTCACGTGCAGGTCGTCAGGCTACTGAAGCGGGGCTGCTTTCCCCTCTGCAGAGGATCTAAATTGTGATGGCATGTCTTCGGATCATCCTCAAGGATGTTTCCCATACCGTCGCCAATAGCCCATTGTGCAGCTCTAGTGCGACATAAATGAACAACAACCAGAATTTTTTCTAGCAAAGTTGAGTTGTTCATTTTTTATGGCCCCCAAGAAGTTCAGAGCGTTGCAGGTAAATCTCAGTGTTTTTATAGAAAATCTGAGATGGTGTGTATTTCAAGTGTGTCACTCTCTCAGATTCTTGTTCTTAATTAAAATATATAAACCAGACAAAATTATTTGTATTTGTAGAATCATCCAGAAATTAAAAGCCCAAAAATCTTTGATTTTTTTATTAAAGAGTTCCAACTCCCTGCAAAGAAGAACCAAAGTAGATGTTGTGTTTCCAATGGCTTCTTATATTAAGTGAGAAAATGCTATTTTAACTAGAGACTTCATTGCATCAAAGTGATTTTTTGTCAAGATATGTTTGTTTTGAATGTAAGGATAAACAAAAGCAACTTTTTTGCATTTACTCACTTTCCTAGCATTCTGATATGCAATTGCCAACTAAAATTGTATTATATATATACAGAGATAAAAACTTTAAAATCTATTTTGCTTCTAAATAATGCATTAAATTTTTTGAAAGTTTTTAATGTAAATTCCTCATCACATCAAGCATGTTTTCAACATTAGAAGTCCTGTCCTGAAGGCTTACCTTTTTTTACTAGCTAATCCAGAATTTTTAACTCCATACCCATTTTTGTAAAAAAATTTCATGATGTTTTACTTTTGTGAAGAGTTTTAGCAAATCATCATTTTCTATGGGAAAATATCTTCAAAAGGCAAAACAAAAGAAAACATTAATATTAAAGGAACTTTTTTCCTTAATAATAAAAAATTATTAAGATATTTTTTTACAACTCTTTATGACAAATACTTATTTAACGAGACTCCAGGGATGTATCCAATAGTGATCCCATAAACGGAAGCCAAATCCACCTGTAACAGGTCCTGCATAAACCCCTGATATTGAAAATATAAGGAGAAAAAACTGTCATGGGCATTTTTCTTTGGGAAAGTAAGGGTAGGATATATCTATCACCTTTCTAACTTCTTATTTATCAGCGTTGCATCTCTTACGTTCAGCGATTTTGTGCCTGTTTGGTCGGTGTTGCATGCCATGTGACAAAGCGAAAAATTTCAATATTAAAACTTAATTTGTCATTACTTACCCGTCTTTTTAAAGTGCACGATTATTTTTTTATTTCTGAATATTGCTAAGTGATGGCACAACTAGTCCCACTTTCTTCACAATTTTTGCAATGATATTTACCACCTTAAATTGAAATCAAAATTATTATTTCTGTATTACAATTGTATGTCAAAATAGTTAAGATGTATTCAGAGAGTGAGTCTGAGTAAAGTGAATTTATTATCTCTCAGTTGGAAAATGATAGTTCTGATTTATCTAGGAAAAATTATTTTCCAAATTATTTTTTACCTAATTTTAAAAATTATTTTACTCAGATATTTATCTTAAACACCTTAAAGCAATAGAGTTAATAAATATGTTATCACAGAGCATTTTTTAAGATAAAACTAGGGTGCATTGCAGGGAAAACTAGAGTTCAGTGGACGGGACATCACATATTTCGAAACCAATAGGTCAAGCAAAAAACTGCTTGCTTACAAAAATATTTTGCATTTTCGAATTTAGGATAGAAAATATATAAATTTTCTGCAATAAAAAAAGCTTTATTTTAGGTCGGAAATGTTATGTTTCGAATTATTTAAATGAACCTGAACCATTAACTCCTTCTCATTTTACTGTTGGATCACGTTTAACTACTCTACCTTCTCCAAATAATTTTAATTTAACATCAAATGAGGTGAAATTCACCAAAAAGTGGACATGTAGATTATTATCGTTGGATCATTTTTAGAAAAGATTTTTTTTTAAGGAATATTTATTAGAGTTAAGATCTGTTATATTTTCTAAACAATCGAAAAATTTGAATACTTATAAAGTTGATAATGATAATATTAAGCGCCATAATTGAAAGTTGGGAAGGATTAAAAAAATTTTTACAGGTAGAGATTTCAAAATTAGACCATGTGAGATTCAATTCGAAAACAGTATTCTAAGAAGACCCATTGAAAAAGTATGTAACCTAGAAGTGTAATGAATGTTTAATGCATCCAATAAATGGATGCATGGTGGAAAGTGTTAAATAATGGCTAAGATTTATGATTTAAATTTATAATCATAGTTATATGGCACTATGCCAATGGTTAATTATTTCTCGCATGTTTGTTATACTTTTATTCTTTCTTGTGCTGTCTATATGAAATAACCATTGTGTTCATTTCTCCGTCATCATTTTATTTTGGAATCCAGGTATCTCTATAGAACCATTTATTAAATATAATGTGAACTGTATAATTTTTTTAAAATCTTCTGAAAATGTTTTACGAAAGATTTGCATACAATGAAATAATAAGGAGAATAAAATTGTTATTAAATTAAATCTTCTCTATTTTATCTTTACTGATTTATAAATATTGTTTCCTTTAAAAATTATTAAATAACAATTGCAAGTAATTTCTGTAATCTTTAATTAGACTTAATGTTTTTTTAATTATCAATTAAAATAAATTGATTTTTGAATGTTTATTGCTGCAAATATTTAATGAATAATATGAACCAAATTTTATTAATAAAATAATGGAACTTTTTCAGATCAAATATTTATATTTTTATAAGAAATGGGATTGCCAACCTTTTCGGGGAAGAATGCAACTGGCTTAAAGATAAAATTATACCATCCACTTCCAACATTCTAAAAAATATAGAAATATCATTTTTAGTATGATAATAAGATTTATGTATGCAAATAATTCTTTTTTTCATTTAAGTACGAGTAGAGGAATTATAAGAAATATAATTAAAACAAAAATTATAAATTTAGGTTTTATTGTTAGTAAAAATTTTAAAGTTTTAGTCAGTATGTTATGCATAAATAGTT